AGAGAAGCTGTCTCTAAAACCGTTTGTCACCCGTTGTAAACTCACCAACAGCAGTATTTGTAATAGAACGAAGCCTTACCAGTGCCACATATAACTAACAATAGTTCTCCTAATGTCACGTCGAAGCCCAGGTGAGACGGGTGATGTATTTTTCACGGAACCCCGTGTAAAATGGCCACAGCAAGACAACAATTCGGAGAGGGAGGGTACAAATACCTGACTCTGGTATGTGATTAGTGGTTGGAGAGCGAAAGTATCAATGTCGACGGTGATTGGACAAGACAGACAGGCCGCCCAGAACCGTAAAAAGAGTGAGTCGCGTCAACGGAAGATGAAAATGCTTGATTGTCATACGTGATCCACGTATACTTCATATAATTCCAGGTAGTATTTGGCGGGCACTTCGAACCGTAGATTGAGATTATTGCTAATTAGTAGTTAATAAATTAATACTTTTACAATAATCATACAGAACGACATACGTGTTTAGATAGTTAAATCTTTTACAGTTACCTGCCTTCTTGATGTACATATTTTAGTACTTTACTAACATAAACTTTAGTAGAACCACGGTGGCCTTCTGGTAGGGATAGGCATCTTTAGGATTTTATCTTTAGCTACTCTTATAATACTACTTTTTTCATGACTAAATAAATGCTTTTAAAGACATATAGAATTATAGTAACAGTCAGAAGAGAATCAGAAGTTATTTATAATTGAGATATAACTAAATATTGTTTCTAGAGCAGCGACGGAAATAAATGGCTTAGTTGATAAAGGCTTCCATGGAGATAAGCCACTCATTCTCCTAGCTGAATGAAGCGAATAACCACAAATGGTCCTGCGATTAAGTGCAACGTGAAGACAGTGGGGCAAAAGCTGAGTAGCAGAGCCATTCGAACACAATAACGTTAGCTACCAACTTAGCCGAGGCCTACAGCTGAGCACTTGAACCTGGCTAGTAACGTTGGCTACCTTGGTTGTTTTGAACATTACGCATCCACAAATAATAAATCATACTTACAGGTTGGAAATCCAGCCATGAAGTGTGTCCAGTTTTGAAAGTGAAGTTTAGCCACTTGTTCTTCAGGTCATCTTCCTTTGGTGGTCCATACAAAGAACACAGCGTCTTCTCGGCATGACGGCTCAAACCAAACTCTTGGGACCAAGCTCCAGCTCCCGTCTCTCCAGCTTTGTTTGAGGTCGTACTAAAGTAGCAGGTAGGAGGTATTATGCAAATGTGTTACATCGTGACTCACTACGTTACAGAAGGGGATAAAGCATAATAGGGCCATTTTAATTTACTAATTTGGTGGTGAAAAATCAACTAACACACTTAAATGCACATGTTCATTTCAATCAGTTGTGTTGATAATATACAATCTCTTTTACCTTTCAAAAGCAATGAGCCTCCATTGCTATAAAAAATAATTGGTCCATTGCAGTGAACGTGACTTTCATTACACGTGACTCTCATTAAACGGCTGAGCCAACCTTAAACCAGTGCCCCCCCACGACTGATGTACTGCATGGCAGTAACTGATGCGTGAGTGTAGATATCTTCGTAACCGATATAAAGTCATATAATCAGATATTTCGAGGGGTTATGAGTTGTTGTTCTGCAATTTGGGAAAAAAGTAATTTAATGCCAGAATATAAGAGATTATTGTAATTGTTATATATAAAGAAATAGAAAGAACTCAAATACATTACAACAGAAAACCCTAATATCAGCTTTATTTGGGAGAAGAAAATCCATAAACAAAAACCTTAATGTCACAATACCAAAAAAAGAAGGAAAAAAGGCTCATCTCCAAACCATTTCAGCCTTGCACCCCAAGCTTTAACTTCAATTAACTAAACAACGGTTACAATTTATCATTTAACTGACATAAGCTGATAATAACAGCAGGATTAAGTAAACTGATTAAAATATAGTAAGAAAATTAGAGACATCAACAATAAAAAGTTATAGTACAATAATGACAATATCATTAAAGAATGATGGTAAAAGTAGAGTAAAAGGCAAATTTGAAATACACATTAACATGTCCTTACAAAGCCGTGTAAGACATACAGTACATGGCAGACATTATAGTAATAAGATAAGCCGATCTATCTGAAAGAATATTCAACTAGTCAACTACACCACTCATGATTTGACCCACTGATTAACACAATCAAATGAATCTCTGGTACACACAAAAAAGGTCCTAAAAACTCATATGTTTAACCTGATTGTGCCTCTAGATATCATACAATGCTTTCCAGTAAAGTGAAAGTTTCTATGTCACTCTGAGTAGCTATTAATTCCATTACCCGTCTGAGCCATAAAATGTGGCCATCAGGGGTAACTTTGGCATGGAAACAAGGGGGTTAGGTCAGTAACGCAGAAGACCTTTCCATGCATACAGTACATAGACACGTATGTTAATACACACCCACACAAAATATACACACACATTCACCGCATGCAGACCTGCACTGGAGAAAGCAAACCACCATACAGTTGCACACACACACTCTCTCTCTCTCTCTCTCTCTAAAGTATAGGTAAGTATTTCAGTATGGGAAAGTATCTCATACAATCTAGTTTAAGCACACCCCTGCATAGCGCCTGAGTCAGAATATGGGCCTGAAGGAGCAAAGCCAATGACAGGGGGAAAGCATTCACAAATGTGATGTGTGGACACTACAAATGACAAAAGAATACCCTATCTTAGTTATGAATCCCTAACCCACAACGTACTCTTCTTGACCGCTGCTCTCAAGGCACTACATGTAGGCTAACTGTGTAAAACCCACTTCGACATGGTCTTCAATTTAAACCAATTCTATATTCATGTCTTTTTTTCCCCGTCTGTCTCTCCGTCTCATGTCCCCATCGTCTATGGCCCGGTAAGGACCCTTTCTCTCTTCATTCCCATCATGGCACATTTCAACCCTGTTTACATCTACTCAACTTCAAATCACCCCCTGCTTTTAGATCTGAAAGTTTTTGATAGGAGAGAGCAAAATGGCACATAATCCAATACATAGATCGAGGACAAAGGTGTAGGAGCCTATCAAATAATTTAAGACCTGCTTTTTAATTTGTTGAGGATAAATGGTTGATAAGAAATTGAGCATCAGCGAAATGTTTTTTTTGGCCCCTCCCCCAATTTTCTCCCTGTCAAATCTCATTGGAAGCTGCCCTTTCTATCTGTGCTTGAAGGCAGCTCCCTTTTCTCCCAGAGCCTATAACAGAAGGCAGGTGGACTTCTTGCCACGTTTCTTGGCCTGCAGTGCTGCCCTAGTTGCCATCTCAAAGACTTCCCTCACACCATCTTTGGATTTGGCAGAACACTCCTGGTAGCCGTAGGCACTGATGCGGTTCGCCATCTCTTTGCCGTCTTCGTATTTAACTGGCTCCTGGAGACAGACGTCAGAGAGAAGGTTTACATTTTCACTTTTACACCATTATACTATCGTGCTTTGTCCTTGTTCAAATAAAGAACGACAAGATGCACGATCCAGCATATTTTGAAACAAAAAAAACAAAAAACTGACCTGTTTCATTTTGGCAAGCTCTCGTCTGGTGTGCTCATCATTACGCAGATCCTTTTTATTGCCCACCAGGATAATGGGAACATTTGGACAGAAGTGTTTCACTTCGGGGGTCCACTTTTCTGGAATATTCTCTACAGCGAGTAGAGGGAAAGAATGCAGTAATTAGAAAACATGTATCACAATGACAAGGTGTTTGATACATAGTGGTGTGACTGTTGCTAAGACAATACCTAAACTGTCAGGGCTGTCTACAGAGAAGCACATGAGGATAACATCAGTGTCGGGGTAGGAGAGAGGCCTCAGTCTATCGTAGTCTTCCTGACCTGCTGTATCCCAAAGTGCAAGCTCTACCTGAGAAAAGAGAGCGAGATACATGCATGAATAATGGATATGAAAAGAGGGCTAATCAAGCATTTAAGGTAACCGTTGCGCTCCACAGAGCCTAGTTTGTAGCTACTTAACATGTCTCACCTGTTTCCCATCCACCTCGATGTCTGCCACATAGTTCTCAAACACCGTGGGGACGTAGACCTCTGGGAACTGGTCCTTACTGAAGACGATGAGCAGACAGGTCTTCCCACACGCACCATCCCCAACGATCACCAACTTCTTCCTGATAGCAGCCATCTGTGGAAAAGAGTCCAATGCAAAGGATGAACTAATACACAAGGTTCTCGCAAGTCTCTTAAGTTGCTCTGCACTAGTCTCAAACATCATTTTATCATTAGCAATTCACGTAAGTAACGGGATGAATCAGACTTTTAAACTCCACGGTGTGATTACAAAGCTTTTCTCAACAGTTCCTCCTGGTTGGCACATATTGTTAGAAGTTAGTTAACAGCTTATACAATGTTAGAAACGCAAGATCTTAAAGATTTATTAAAAACATCCTGCTGGCAAACAGGATGGCTTCCCCGGAGGTAGAGGGTGTAAACAGAGAACATTTCCGTGCTGTGTCCCCCCCGCTCCTGCTGAAAGGCTGTGCAGTGTAACGTTAGACCGGGCCTGTCAAACCAGCTAACATTAAGCTAGCAAGAAAGCTAACGGTGTTTCCCGTGGTTTGTAACGCTGTCATTCAATGTATTCTGTCTGAAATTACAACTGCAGCACTCATCGCGCTGCTGTGGTACTTCTGTGATTGAAACAAGAATCTGCATAAAGTTTAAAGGCTATTGCTGAGTAAGATTACCGCTTGATGTTCTGTGTCCGCCTTTCTCCTCTTCCTGACCGACTGGAAAACTCCGCCCACTACTTCTAGTACGCATGTGCGCGACCACGTCATTCGTCAATCGGCTGCGGCAATCAATTACAAATCTAAATAAAATATGATAGTTTACAATTGTATTATTTAATAAATGTAAACACATGAGTGATATATCAAAAACAGTATAATAATAATATCAACATGAAAAGTTTAAGTCTAATCATCAGACTTTTTGATTGGTCTTTTATTCAAGGTTTCAAATAATAATGCAATAGGCTACTTTCAATGCAAGTTGTGGACACAAATGTAAAAAAAACATACATTTATACATACATATACGAATATATACATAGGAATTATAATTCAGGTAGAGGGAAAATATAGCCCATTTTAACGTTTTCATGTTTCATGGGAAACTCTCCATGTGGAGGGAGATTAACATAAAATGACAGCACATAGTATTGGCTACAGATATTTACACATTGAGTTGAAGTACTGTACATTTCACAAAACTGGAGCTTAAAGTGAAGTCCTATGTCACAATTGAGTCATCATATGTTGCCTAATTTCTTTTCCACCCAAGATTTATCTTTGTATATTTGGGTTTATGTTGCATCGCAAGCATGAATCACAATTATCTTACATAAAGAGCTCAGCATCATGTGCAAGTACACCACTCACTCCTGCCTGAGAAGTATGGCACAGAGACTTTTAAGGCTGCAATGCAGTCTGTCTGAGCTGTCTCAGCTCTCTCACTGAGACCCTTCAAAAGCATCTCCATGATTCAGGAGGGAAGATCGCCTCTTCAAGCCCCCGTTGAAGTGAGCATGGCTTCGCTCTCCTCCTCTTTAGAGTTTATTTAAAGGCATGCTCACTGAGATTGAGCTGTTCATAGCTGCAAGAGTTAAAGCACTGCTCATTCTATTTGTTTCTATGGACACTGGAGGTAAAGATGCTCCGATTGGCTGCTCGACTCAGCCAGTCTCCGGTCTATTTCCTGACTGTGGTGGTGCTGTTGCTGCGCTGGTAGAACAGCACATATGCTTGATTGGTCTGAAGCTGGTTCTCCGAGACTGGAGTCACACTGTAGTTGGGTAGATGGAGAGTAATAATGGGAAACAGCTTGAGGTTTGTACATGTGTCTCAATACAGATGCAGTGGGCTTTGTAAGTAGCAGTTTGCAGGGCGTTGCTGATTAACACACAATGATTTGGGTGCAGGTCCGAGCCTCACCTCGAGTCATTGTAGAAGCACCAACCATTTTCATCTGAACAGCAGGCTGTGTAGTGGCCCATGTTCACCGTCCCAGCGTGGTTACATATTGCACATAAATCATACAGAACTGGGCCTGTGGGGACATACATAGATATGACTTACTTGTTCCATTCTTCATGACTTATGTTGTATCAGTTTTATTTACTTATACAACTCATGGAATAATCAGTTGTAAGAAATCGTCTTCACATTTAAAAAATTACAAGAATATATCAAACTAAAGTGTAGCACATGAGCTGTGGATGAGCTGTTATATGCCACAGCTTTTCCTTTATATTGTATTTTAATTGGTTGATTGTTTAACAACCCACAAGGGTCGACTCGAGCAAGTAAAAGGAGATAGTGCATGAATGGTGAATTGTTTTCTTTACCACAGTCGACGGGCCCGTAGCATCCAAGGTCCAGGTCAGTGAGTGGGAAGGACACGTACACTGTGCTTTTACTGATAGACCACCGTGACGTAGTAAAGCGGTTCAGATCTGAACAAGAGTGTTAAGCATCATAACTTCCTCCACAAAAGCTACTCTTAGGTTAATATTCTTAGTTGTCAAGGATACGGATCACAATAACCTGGGGAAACCTCTGGATGGAAAGCCGCTTGGTGCACTCTGTATGCCTGTTACACCTCTCGCACATCTTAAACACACAGAAACAAACACACATGTACATTTTCAAAGCATTTGCAAATACACATGGTCTGTTGTAGGTAACTTGCCAGCACAAAGCAATTCATGAAAAAGGCTGGAACATTGAGGAAAGTGTTATCCGCCACCCTTGTTAATTGACTTTGTGTTACAGCTTTATTGATCCATATATTAACTATTGTAATATTGTTTGATGTGCTACCAACTCATCCTACTTCCCATCCATTTAAATTCAGATAACGTATTTAAGAATGGTAATCAATTTGTTTAGCAAATTATTTGAAGGATCAATTGATAACGTCAATACTTTTACACGTGTTTATGTATAATTTCATATTTTCATTCACATCCTGCCAGGATTTATTTACCTTACTGTTGTACTTCTCAATATCAATATATCATAAAATATGGATGTCCCTCTCCCTGTAACAGTTTGAAATGTAATAAGAAAACATTTACTTCAATACATGTCTACAAGAGTCAATTGACGTCTCCTGTGGTTTTAATTTGCTTCGTCTTGCATTGTCTGATATTTATAATTATATTTCATTGTTGATTACTTGTTTTGTATCGACACTGTATAAGCTCTTTGGCTTCCTTACTCCCTTTGCACATATTTACTGATGCTCTATTGCTGTATTTCTTTCTCACCATGTTTAAATTGTGCATAGGTAACAGTTTTTGGACGAAACCATTCCTAGTTTATAGTGTCTGCGTCATTGACATTTTACCCCAAATTTAGAGACACATGGTTGATGTGTTGTACACTCTGTTAACTTACTGGTGAGTTGTCCTTGTCCAGCTTCTCCTCCTGAGAGAAGAGGTCCAGGCACTCCCTCAGCGTGACCCCCCCAGCAGAGCCCCTCTTGGGGATGGGCAGCGACAGATCACAGAACACGTCGAACGTGTTGGAGTAGTGGGAGCACACTGAGCAATGCAGCGAGCTCCTCAGCTGGCCTGAGAACAGGTCTGTGAGAATGGTGGAAGGAATTATCAGTGGGTTGCCTTCATTGGATTTATAATGCAGATGAGTCTGGTGGATCACCGCGACTGGACTGCTCTTCTCACCGACTATTCTGCTGTCATCTCTCTCCATGTGCTTCTTCCACATGGCGGCTGCCTCCTCCGAAATCCTAAGGAAGGACAAGAGACGAGGTAGAGATGTGGTCACATGTAGGACATGAATGTTTCAAGCACAGAATCTTTTCCACATAAAAACACACCTAAATCGGGCAAATTTCTGTTCAGGCTCCTTCCCTGTTCGTCGAATATAGGGTCTGCGGTTGATTTCTGTGTGCAGCTTGTCCAATAAGAACCTGAGGAACTCCTGCGCATCCTGTTGACTGCGTTAAACACAGAGACAAAGACATCTCTGTGTCACTGTTACAGGCAGCTATTTCTATAAGAGTCTCAACTTCAAAACCAATCTATACTCGTGGCAAGGTAGAAAATGGATTGAAGCAGTTACAGTTCCTCTCTTGTCCTTGAAACAGTTGTGCTGATACAGAAGTGGATATTATATTGCACTGCATTCAAGACTCATGGAAAGATGCAGTTAACCTTGAATGAAAGAGAAACACCATCTATATTCTCACCTGTATCCACTGAAGTAAGGCACCGCTTCTTTAAACATACTGTAAAACTGTCGTGGGTTTACAACTGTGTCCCCGTCATTTACATCCCAAAGGCCTGACAGCACCTGAGAGAAAGCTGGCACAGGGAGACCGGGAGCAATGAGAAAGATGAAAACACAATAGGAGGCGGAGGGAACAGCAGGAGAGAGGAACATACCTTCCATGAGCTTAGCCTCCTCTTTGGAGAACTTCTCATCCCTGTAGGACATGAGGAGGCTGTAGTCCCGTAGGCTACGTGTGTGAGACAAACATTGGACTACTGCGTTCAGGAAACACTATTTTGGAGACAAAGTAAAGGAGAAAGTGTACATGTTTAGGAAATAAAAATGCATTCTGGTATTCATTAAAGGACTTTGTTTAAAGCACATCACTTAACACTTACTGTGTTTCCTATGTTTCTTAGGCCAACCCTTCCACTTCCTATAGAGAGATGCTCTTTCTGGAAAATAAAGACAACTCATGAAGCTATTGACCCAAATTACATCTGCAAGAATACAGCCTTTTTGTGACCTAAAATTTGACCCCTGGCAAAGTCTGTACAGCATGTTACTGTCTATCTGCGTGTACAGCATTGGGAGAACAGATTTAGCCTTCTTATCCCCTTCGCATAACAAGAGAGGGCTAAAAGGAGGTCAGCCTGAAGCATTCATCCTATTAGAGACCAAGGAGTGCTGACAGGTGCTTAAACACGTGTGAGCTGGTGTGTACTCATTAATTACTTTACACAATCTCTCGGTCTGTGTTTAGGTTCATCTCATATGTGTCCCATAAATTTCACGTCAAGAACAAACTTTTCAGACCACCAGACTGAGGTTTGACCATAAATTGAAGGATTATACACATTTTGCACACCTCGTTGTCGGCGACCAGAAGCAAGCCCATCAGTGAGGTGTAGAGAACAGACTGGGAGATGTCGGCCGTCTCTCTCTGGAGGCCGTTCTGGGAGACCAGGGTCCGACAGAGGGCATCACAAGAGCCCTCAACGTTGACGCCACTGGCTCCTGGCATCCTATATTACTGGTTCACCTCAGCAGTGTCTTCCACTTATACTGGGACAGTTAGAAGGGCTTCCCAAAGAAATAAAAGCCAGGTAGTTTGCACCTCAAACTGGGAAGGTTGCACCACCTCTGCTTTTTCCACATGCACAAACGAGATGGTAGTTCACAAGAGAGAAAGAGTGAGGTGTGTCATTCACAGCTGAGGGGGATAACAGTATTCATTTGTACATAACAGTATAGCTAAATCCCTATATTAAATAGGTCGAGTTGACAATTTCCTCTCATAATTACAGCACGCGGGACAGCTCGCAAAGTCAAGGTCTGTCAGAGAGCTCAATGAATCTAGATTGTAAACATATCAGCTTCAGGGTACATCTTTACCAAAAAAAAGAGACTATTACTGGAGGCCTCACCTAAATTGTTCACTGATTAAAGAGTCAAGTAAATAACTTGTAACATGCATGAAAACTCACAACCGTTTTGAGTTATTAAAGCCAAATCTACACTCTCACTGCTGCTTTCCGTGGGTGAAGTTAAATCTTGCAAACAAAGTTAGTTTGCAAGTAATTCCTGATAAATATTCCAGCATTAGCAAACAAACAGAGCAGTTTGGACTCACCTGATCACTTGGGTCACTGTATCTGTGAACAAACTGTCCCAACCAAACTGTTCCCATCTCCTGCTGAGCTGTTAAAAATGCATAAGGGGACGTCTACTGTTTCACTGTGTGTCTGTAGGCTAGAACTGAAAGTCTACCTCTCTCCCCTGCCCTATCACCAGTGTCAGAGGGAGAGAGCAAGGGGGAAGAGGGAGGGAGGATAATCATGACTAATCTTTTCTTTGTAGCTCTTGTTGGCTGCACTTAGACTTTTGTGGATTGGCAATGAGTACCTAAAGAACTTCTATATGTCAGTTTATTTAAAAAAATTAAAAAAAGAATGAAAACATTTTACAGTGTAAATTCACATTCAGTAATACTGTTCTCAAGCTGTACATCAAACATCACCACAAGCACAGAATATATTAGCAAATGCATGAACAGACAAAACCCATGTAGGAAATTCTGTGTCAAAGGCACAATCATCTTTCACAGTCTATTTTATTCTCTCCGATGTCAATGTGCAGTTCACTTCCCATGCCTCCCGATCATCAGTCTGACACAGTCAGCGACAGGTATGATCTGCCATTTCTGTGTCCGAGCTGAGGCTGAGATCAGCTATGTGGTACAGGGCGGGATCAGGGTGAAGGGAGAGCTGCGACTGGCTGGACTGAGCGGTGCTATCTCGCGACCGGACAATCGCTTGGCGCAGACAGGTGATCCACTGCTGCTTGCTGAAGGAGTCGTTGGCCTGCAGGCTGTAAGGGTGAGCTTTGGAGCGCCCTCTGCTGCTCACACGGAAACAGTTTTTCACTGGGATGGAATGACAAAGAGGAAGGAAGGAAATTGAGTGGAAGCAAGGTCGTAGGTTTCACTTCAACTAATGGGGTGGAGGGGTGTTGCTTTCTCTCAATCTGAGGACTTAGTTGTAGCCTAAATTTAACCTCCTTTAACCCTCCCTTCACCTGCATGAAACACAAGGTATCAATAAACCTGAATTAAAGCATGCATAGATGAAGTATGAATACATCACTGTGGTGCTGAAACAATTGATGGACAGAATATTAATTGTCAACAATTTTGCAAATTAGGTAATTGTTCAAGTCATTCATCAAAGATACCAACTATTTGCTGGTTAAAGCTTCCAATTTAGACCATTTGATGCGATCAATAGAATGATCCGTGAATGAAAATACATTATATTTGTCTTATGTATATGTTACCTTTATCATTTCCTCCAGTGAAGGCTCCCCTGAAGGTGCCCCCTCCAGCAGCCTCCCCATCTGGGATCTCCTCCAGATTTATCAAGGCGTTGGGAAGAGGCTGTCTGTATACATGGAACACCTGACCTCCCTCTCTGTCCTCCCCCAGCCTAGTCAGCACCAAGGCCAGCTCAAACAGGAATACATGCAGCCGCTGACAGAGGGGGGAGGGAGGGGGAGAGAGAGAGAGAGAGAGACACAGACAAACACACACGCACACAGGCATTAAGAAAGTTATTCAAATATTACGGTACAATCTTTGGCAGGGTTACAATACAAGAAGATGATACAAAATGCCCTTTCAAAGTAGAGGGTAATACAGGGCTCATTTAAAAAGGCCTAAAAATCAAAATCAGAGGAGAGGGCAGAAAGGAACAAAGGCCTGTAAGTATGGATCCATCCCGTCTTTAACCTTTTCAGTTAAGATACAAACAAATCGACAACCAAAGATCAATCTAAGGATCTTTAGAGTAGTTAAACCTAACAACAGAGAGCCGCTACCTGGCCTTTGTTGTTCTTGAGCTCTCCGTGGCAGTACAGGAAGCGGGACAGCTGGATCTCTTGTAGTCTCTGACTATCTTCGAGGTATGCAAGGCCCCGCCTGTAGAACTGACACTCCGCCTCGCCAGTCTTCTTGTTCACCTCCGCCACGATGCTCTGGACCAGCTCCAACTGAACAGAACAAAGTAGTCTCACACAAAATGAATGTATTTCATGTGGGATTTTGGTGATGAAGAATGTGTGCCACCTCCTCAGAATTGACAACTTGGTTGGGTTATGAATAGGATACAACTCACATATTTAAGCAAAACAATTAAAAATATGTAGTACGTTTACTATGATAGCACGCTGTTTCATATGAAATGCAAAACTGCCTCCTGAACATAACTTTCATTTATTATTCCTCAAGTCTTTATTGGTATAACACATACCAGCCACAGGATCACTGGCTACTGAGGTTCATGTTTCATAAAACTATTTTCTCTTGCTGCCATTTGGAGGCGCCAACGTGCAAAGTTTTTTAGATTTAAAAAGGAAACAAGTGTTTGGACTTTAAACACTTGCAGTCTGATGAATTTAAGAATGATGGGAATAAACTTATAAAACCTATAAGGACGAAATGTCCAACATTTATTTGGTATTCATGGATATTCGAACAGTCATAAGCCTTAATAATTTGGAAAATGGCCAGGCAAATGTTGATTTTCATGCAACTAAGAAAACAATCTGACCACATTTAAGATTGTTAAAATAATGAAATGAGTATCAAGAAACAAGTAGAGGTTTTACTGTGCACTGTGTGTGTACACAGTGTATTTGAAACATTAGATGAGCACATTTAAAAGGTAACTCGGGTCTATCTAAAGCGGCACACATCTTGTATAAACTGCCAATGTGGAGCTCATTCAGAGCCTTTTAGAATAACACGAATGTGTAAGACACCAACTCACAGCATCAGGCAGTGTGTCCTCATCCGGGTGCTCTGGAGGCGTGCACTTCTGTATCTCTTTCAACAGCAGGGGGTATTTGACCAAACGGCTTCGAGGGAGATCCAGGAAGTTCCACAGGTCCAGTTTCCTGCTGAACGAGGACTCCTGACACAGACGCAGGAAGTGCTCCACTCTTTTCTCATGCTTTTTCAGGTCAAGCAGGGCTTTAGCCCCCACCTGGTTACAGCAGTACGTAACATAGGCCTCCAGGCACGGGAACTGCAGCGAGAAGGACGGGAGGAGCAATGAGGCAATGATGTGAAAAAAGTCAGTTAAAAGCAGAGATGCACACAGACTGAACTCTATGACTCTGGTTGAGAGAGGAAGATAATAGAGTAAATACAGGAACTATAGAGAGTGAATGTGGTTTGTGCTCTTTTCTCCTCTTCTCTCTAGAGCCTTGGTTTCCATGGAAATACTCACCCAGTTCATCAGAGTAGGCCCGACCTGTCCGATCGTCTTCTCTGATCCCTTCAGCCGCTCAAGACGACTCAGAAGATCTGGTATGAAATAAAGATAGAACACTTAAACTGTTGAATTCTTATTGATGTTTGCCTCATGAACACCAGCGTTACTACAGATCAGAGACAGAACAACATCACATTTAACTGATTCAACCTCCTTTATTTTGAGATAAAAAGCAACTCACTCACACATCTTGACAACATGTACTGTATATCACCACATGGCAAACGTATGCACAATCTGTTGTTATAATTAATGTTCAGTGTAGAAGTGGTCCACTTTTTATCAAAAAAAACCCATCATATATGTAGAGCAAAACCTGTGATACGACGGTATTACATTTGGATTTATTGAACTCATTAGTTTGGACATAACGGTGTGAAACGTTGAAAGTCATCCAATGATAATACATGCATTTGTTTTTCACTCAGCCCTACTTGCTATACACATGATTACGACATGAGAAGGTTGATAATGGGAGTGTGCGAAGCAGAGAGGTCGTTTACCTTTATGGAGAGGAATGAGCGAGTCCAGTGTACCAAAGATCTGTCCGAGCTCACTCTCTGTCATGATGTCCAACGTCAGCATGGGCTCATAGTACACCTGGTAGCACACAGAGACCAGGAGGCAAAGGTGAGGAAAGAATAACAGCAGTACCAAAAGAGGCGTATGAAAGTGTGAGAAACTTAAATCAGCAGAATTTGTTTTTTGGTGGACACGTACCTTCTTGACCAGACTGAGGTCTTCAATGAGTTGTCTCTCACCCTGAGTCAGCTCATAGATCACCTGCGGAACGAACACCAACACGTGGATGCAAGCACAGGCGATGCACACATGCAAAACGCACGCTTGCATACAATGTGGAAAACACAGGAGGACAGCATGCACTCTCACAGCTGATTGTTCAATAAAGGAAGTTGAGGCTTGAGTGCCAGCTCACATCCTCTTTCATAATGCCCGTGTAGCGTAGAGCGGCTTCTCAAATATAATGAGAAGGCATTAGTCACCCCGCCCACACTGCAACCACAGACCCACAGCCCCCCTAAAAACTATTGCATTATATTACAAAAATGTGAAAGTTAAGTTTCTGCAGCTGAACTACACTTCAGCAGGCGGCCCCTCGCACCTCTTGTCGCTTGATCTCCTTCGCAGTGAGGTCATGACTCTCCACAGTGTCACTCCAGCACTGGCTGTTGCGCCGGCGTGGATACGAGGAGGCCTTTGCGCGAGAGCGCAGGGGAGCCGGGGGCAAAGTTCGAGCCTCCGTGCGAAAACTAATAGACCGCTGTGTGAAGAGCAGAGTAGTTGAAAGTCACTGGCTATTCATTTTGTAAAAACAACAGGTATGTGAGTGTTTGTGTGCATTGTTACCGAAATAGACTGTCCAATGCGTTTCAGAGCAGGAGTCTTCACCGGAGTTATGACACCTGTTACGCTATTGGACTTTACCACAGGTTTGACCCTTTTGTTACTGGGCTCCTGAAATGAAATGACAAACTTTGAACAAAATGGTTCCCAAGCTTATCAGGGTGGGTCATTCATCAAACTATTACGGGCTGTACATTGAAAGATTTAAAACAACTGAACACACATCTGGCACCTGCAAAAGAGGAACAACTCACCTCCGAATCCCTCATGTGGTCGGACATCATCTCACCCTCATCATCTTCCTCTTCATCCTGATAAAACATAACAGGTCACACAACAGAACAAGCATTAGGCGAGAAAGACACAACAGTGTACAGGAAAGAGCAATGTCGAGAGATGTTGCATGGTGCAGATCTCTCATTTCCTGTGTGACTCTTTCAAAGAGGAAGGAGGTTTAAACTTTGCTGCTGTAGTAAAAATACAAGATGTCTGCCTGTTTTTTGCCACACTAACTACATCAGCTGTAAATTCAGCGCAGAATCAGAGTGAGCTGTATTAAAAATGTATCCGTTTATATGTTTATGATACACATGATAAAGATGAATGCAAAGCAGGGAAGCTTGAAAAGTAGAAAATTGAATTAAATGTGACAAGATGCCATAAACATTTAGAGATTTGAGCATTCAGAGAGCTTCTGTGGCTGCACAGCTGAACACAACGTTCACATCTCGTGTTAACGCTGCACTCAGCATTGTGGTCACAAAGGTAAGGTTGACTAACTTCCGCTAGTTAGAGAGAAAACAAAGACGTGAAGAGGCAGTGGAACAAGATGGTGCACATCAGATATCACTCACCTCTATGATTCTCACCACAGGTTCAGGGTCTTGTTTTCTCTTCTTCTAAAAAAGCAGAAATGTAAATGAGATTCTTTTTTTTCTTCTTTTTAACAAGCGCCCTCCACACAATAAAATAAATAAGGTCAATGAAGAGACTTACCCCGGCATGGTCACAGGGAATGGAGTGCGTTTCTCCCAACACTGCAGTGCTTAAAAAAATAAATTAAAAAAAAAAAAGCAGCCATGAACACAGTTATGTTATATTACTAGTTATAAATCACAAACATCCAAAGCAGCTGGATGGATCCTAGTAGCATGTTCCTACTGGTCTAATTCAGCAGATTTGTCCTAAAGTTATAAAAAAGTACATTATTGATAGAAAGGTTAAGACCGAGTACTAAACGGTAATAAAGTGTTAAGCTTTTGCTACCATGACACCAGATATATACCAACTTAAAGTACCACTCACATGACCCTGTAGTATATATGTTAATCCCTGCCCGTCTGATCACAGTATGAATATACAGTTTGTGGCACAACAAGGTAGAAACATAACGGTGAATGTAAAAGGTATCATACCAGGAAGTCCTTGTTTTACCAGTCTCTTCTACTTCCATCTTCCTTTTGTCTTCAATGCATCGTCACAGAAACATTACAGGTTCTCAAACTGAGACGGGTATAAATAATCCACATTTACGCCGGTCTCTTCCGTTTCTGTAACATACAGTGTTTGCAGGGAGCTCGTCAGAGTGCAGTGCACTCCTTCCTCACTTTCTTCCTCATCTCACACCCGACCACATCCTTTAGGGTTGCACATATTCGTGTATCCGCTCCTCTCGGAGGTTTCAAAAATTAACTTGTTCAAACGGATCGAATTTTAACACCACTTTGCAACCCAAAAGGACCCTACTGGAATAACCGATATGCTCTAAATAAAATATCAATATATTAACAGTTAACTATTCATAAAGTTGTCTTTTGAATCAGCATAATCAACTATAGATACATTTGCAAAATAATTTGACAGATCATTTCTTACAATCTGATGAGGCCTTTTCACTGCAGGTTCACGAGTAGGCGTTTCAGATTCAGGCTGTGCTTCCCGGATACATTTGATAATGAAACTTCTTATGAGAGAGCCAGAAGCGAGTCACACAGGCAAAACACCACAAGTGATACACACCAAGAGACATTAAAGCATGTTGACCAAAACTACTGTACAAAACAGTAAAATAACCACACAAGTCCAGCTGTGTTTTTACATGTTTATTCACTATCACACTAAGTGCTCCCATTTCAAGATTCATCTCTTGGCCTTGCTCTTACACTTTTACATCATTTGGAGTTAACAAAGTAGAAAGAAGACCGTTTATGATCTACAAGGTGTGTGTGCCAAAACTTTGTCAGCCTCCCCCACCCCCCCACTAAAAAAAATAATAATAATAATACTAAACAAAATACATGAAATATAAAGAGAATAATGAGAAAACTGATGTCATGTGCAAGAGCCCCTCCAAAGCCAGAGTGCTAGATGAGGTGGGTGTAGGGGCGCCTCAAACCGACAAGGGGTTCCTATTCTGCCGACGCGAGATACTCGGGCTATTTTCCAGTCAGGAGAGGCTGTTGACTCAGGTTTGGCCGGGTCTTCAGGTGCTTGTACAGTTTCAAATTTAGGGTCTCGGGTATAATTAGGGGCAGTGGCCTGGGGTCAAAATGGAATCTCAATACATGTCACTATTTTTGGGATTCATAGCTGAACGTCTTTTATTTAAGGGAGGTGCATCTTTGAAAAACAAAACAGTAATGTTGGACCAGGTCTACTAGACAGGTATGGGGAGGGAAGAGAGCAAATAGAGTGGAGGGGAGATAGTCGGCTGGATTAAAAGATCCCTCCTTTAGAGCTGAAGGCTAGTATAGAGTTTGAGGATGTTTCAGAGGGACACTAGCTGGGTTTAGGAGTACCAAGAGAACACTAAGGTTTAGCATTAAACTGAGCAGAGAGCTTCTGCGGAACATCAGGAGGTCCTGTATACATGCTCCCGTCCTCCAATGACACCCCTGTTCCCACAGCCAAGCAACAACTGGTTCCCTAACACACATACAAGTATCCTTAAATCCGTTTCCTGGGGCTATGTACACTCAGGCACAGGCTTAATCAAACCAAAGGCCTAAAAAAACAAAACTGATTGATCCAACAGAGCTGACCTGGATAAACCCACCCACCCACCCCGATCCCCACCTCAACTCCTCACTTAGAATGCCCCCCCCCCCCCAGTCTCCCTCCTGCAAGTCCCACCCTACTGTGGGCGGGTTCAGCATGGAGCTCAGCGGATGGTGTATCTGACATAGGGCACCTCCACGTCTTCCTCTGTCTGGTCGTTACAGCACAGCTCAAACACCAAGGCTTTCACATGCTTGCCCAGCTTCTTTTTGGACACCTTGGTGACAATCTCAGTCATCCTACAGGACACAGAAGAATACACTTAGGACAATGAATGAAACACTCAAATTAGATTTTTGAAGAGGTGCATCAAGAAAATGTACTCACGGCAAGTCCAGTCTCTCTTTGAGTTTGGCACCAGGCATGAAGAAGGAATAGAGCATGGACACTCCCTGAGAAAGCATGGTGATCTCCAACTTATGCTCATTCTGAGGAAGAGCAGAAAAACAGAGTTTGGTTAATTGTGCGCCAGAACCCACGCGGCGGTTAAGTGTAGAAGAGTTGATGAGAACGTACTTTAAAGTAATCCAGGAACTGTCGGAGTGTCATCTCCTCCCCATTGGGCTGCAACCCGGTGACCTCGAAGCGCTCCCACAACGTCCAATCAATTTCATAGTACTGCAGAAACAATAAAAAGTATTAGGATTGATGCCACCTCACAAACAGCACCCAGTTATTGCTGCTCTTTGCTAAAACACATTAGGAGCAGGGTATAAGAATATTCATATTTCTCCTCAGCACACACTGATAACATCAGCATGAGAAGCTGAGTTACACTCACTTACACCCAGGCAGACAAACTTCATCTGCCTGGTGTATCGGTATTAGCATGGCTGGATCATCATCGGAGCTCAAGACATCTAATGACAATATTTAGGTAGCGTTTCAGAGCCGAATATCCTGAGTATAAAAGGGGAAATATTTTCCTACAGTGTGGACACATGATGCATCATCATCACATAGACATCTAAGCAGCTCAGACTGACACATGCAGCTGCCCACCTTGTGTTTGGGAGCAGCGATGGGCTCAGAGAAGGCAAAGAAAGGCAGGGCCAGGTTCATGAAGCCATTCTTGAAGGATTCCAGCTTCTTGTGTCCTTGGATAATCTTGATGAGCTCCAGGCACACCAGACCCACCACTGCGGACGTGGTAGTGGCGATGGCAGGAATGATCTTGCCAGCGATCAGCTTGCTCTGTATTGGATGGTGATGAGAACAAGCATAATAAAAAAAAGACAACAGAGTTCATTATTGTTTAAGGAGTTAAAAAAGGTGCTTAATTCCAAATTCCCTGGCTAGCTAATCGTCACACTGCACCGCACTCAGACGGCGGTGACCACTGATAACAGCGTCCGCCCTCTGATCCCCCCAGGTTAACACTGTTAGCCCCGTTGCCTCTTCCCATTAACTGCTAGCTACCAGCTCAGCCGCAGCCTTGTTGAGGCAACTGAGGGTTGCCAGTTATTGCTGCTCTTTGCTAAAACACATTAGGAGCAGGGTATAAGAATATTTAGATTTCTCCTCAGCACACACTGATAACATCAGCATGAGAAGCTGAGTTACACTCACTTACACCCAGGCAGACAAACTTCATCTGCCTGGTGTATCGGTATTAGCATGGCTGGATCATCATCGGAGCTCAAAACATCTCATGACAATATTTAGTCATTAGATGAGCAGCTGAGGGTTGCCTCAACAAGGGAACAATAGAGGTGCCATCGATAACATTCAGCCACTAGATGTCGCACTTTCCCTCCCCCGATCTGTTGCATTCACTTCACAACAACCGTTTGCCAGTTCTGTCAAGGATGCATGCATGAGTCTTTACTTATAGTACAGCTATGTTGTGCGTCTGGGGTTCGACAGGATTGGCGGTGATTCGGGGAACCAGTAAAAATGGCAGCCCATGTTCTGCTGAATTAATAAATGAGGTAAACAGAATGCAGCTCATTACTTGACAAGTTTGTTACACAACCTGTATATTTTATACAGACATACAAACTCGACAGACAAGTCGAGTGTTGCATCTTTGCAACATGTAACTATACATTTGTTACAGATTTTGGTCACTGTGTGGCAAAACTTTTATTCAGCACCTTTCTAAAAGTTCTGTGGAGGTATTGTTTTTAAAAAATTACATAATCACACATCTACATAAAAATGTTATTAAAGACATCAGTAAAATGTTAATGCCATAAAAATGTGTGCACCCACCTTGTGTCTGTCTGTGGGGGGAATGTCGTAGTTCTCTGCTCTCAGGTTGGATGATGCTACAATGAAGTCCATGTGGAAGTTGGCGTCATCATCCTGTTAACAAAAACAGGACTACATTTAGCGCAGGTTGAGGTTGCACTGAGGACCAACGACAGTTGAGGTGATTACAGAGAAATGTAGATATAGGAAGAAAGACTGTACCTTCTCAAAGTCAATGGCGCAGAGTTTGAAGTTGGAAGACTCAGGGGAAGGTATCTGGACCTTCAGCTCGTCCAGTCTGCAGTCATCTATATAAAAAGACTTCAGTTCAGTACACGTGTCTCACAGCATCTGTAGTGAACGCCAACTTCAATTTGTAAGCCATTACCAACAAAAAAATCATTAAGATAAAAAACGTTTTAGCAGAATATCTATGACTGTGAATGCTTTGTTGTGCATACACAGATTTACACATCTTACCAACAGAGGAATTGCTATTCTGCAGCTCCTGGTCAGAGACATGGATTTTAACCCCTGAACGAGGGCTGAAGGGGGGCACTTTCACCTCCTGCAAGATCTTCACCACACCTGCACGGTCAGTGCTGCCTTTCAGGCCGTATGTCTGGGCAAACAGGTTTGCTCCGGCCATTACATAGTCCATGTGCAGCTCCTACAAAAGAGAGCACCTCTGTTAGCATTTAGTGATTGATAGACAAAGCTCCAAGCAGATAATGGTCGAGTAAGAGCATGCAAGAAACACAATTGACCCATACTTACATTGCTAGTGCTGAAATCTAAACCGTGAGGACACCTTTTTGGGCCAGACCAGAAGGGGGCACCAGAGCTGGTTAGCTTAAAAAGACACACATAATAAATTCATCATCAACTGAATCATTAAAATGCAAAACCTTAAAATAAAGCTGGGGTTGGGAATGAATATTTCACAATGATTGCTCCATAGAAATACTCATTACTGAGAAGAATGTCATTGATGAAATTGTACACCTTTGTTAGATTGCCATAAATGGAGGCAAGCATCCCAAGTCAACTGATTTTCATCATGCAGTGAGCTCATATGTACCTGCTCTGGGGGGAAGTTGTGCAGTAGCTGGCGGATGTTGTTGCTGTATTGGCACTGCCAGTGGTTGCGTGCCCAGGCTACACAGTCAGCCCAGCTGTGGGGGCAGTCTGTGACAAGACTCTTGTAAACAGCCTCCAGCACCTCCACAGGCTGAGCTCCGGGGAGCTTCAGAGTACGCTCCATGAATTTAGGATCTCTGTAAGGATAGTGATCGTAAACATCATAAGCTGGTTACAAACACGGGAAGAGCCGTCGCCTTTTTCTTTGCTGTTCACCCAGCAGGGTCAGTTTAGGCATAGCATTTAGGTTTTTAATCAAGGTTTAAATATAGTCTGTAGTACTGCAAAAGCAACAGCTTCTTAATATCAAACCTTAGGCGGACCTAGATTAGCCCTCTTACAGATTGAGGACAGACATGAAGCAAGCTTTTACCAGCTTGAACTAGTAATGCAAAGAGAAGTCATTTTGCCAATCTGAACAACTTTCATGATGAAAAAAAGCATATCATATAAGTAACTACAATGACATCACATCATCACTTTGGTATGACAAGGAGGCAACTCACGACAAGTACTGCATGGCGTTCTCTGGTGGCTGTTTGAATAGTCCCTCAAACTCATCGCGGGCCCACTGAACAAAAGATCAATCACACTCAATGCACTACATCAGAAGTAAAGTACGTGTTACACTAAAAACAGTTTCAGATTGAGTCGACATTATCTAGGGCTGGGCAATAAAATTAATTACTCCATTTAATCATATTGTGTCACTACTGACAGTTTGCTCGGTCTCTGCCCCTCGAACGCAGACTGGCCAATCATAGCGTAGCATCACTTCTACGCCATGCTAGTGACAGACGTTAAAACATGCTGCTTTTGCGTTTTAACTTTAACAGTGAATAAGGTAAAGCGTCCCAACAGACGGACCTTTTTGTTTAAGAGTAAAGTATTTTTTGTTTAACCAGAAACAGCTGCAATATCTCGCTAAATACACAAGACTCCATTGACAAAAGCTTTAAACTGGCTTTAAATACATTCTTAACAAATCTGTTACGGCATGACATATTTAATAAATCTATACACAATACATTATTTTATGCTCCACATATTGTCTGTACACCTACTGACCTGCAGTGTGTGTTCAATGGCATTCGGGAAGTTCTTGAGGGTACAGATGGGGATGGACTTCTCAGGTGGGTCTTGGCTGGAGCTGTACGACTCTGTGAGGAAGGGGATCACAACCTGGACGTTGCCTTTGGTACCCAGAGTACCAGACTCCAGTAAGGGCTTACGGTAGTACACACACCTCCGATCCATGTACATACCTGTACAACGGGCACAGACAATAAAAGAGTGGGATGTATGGTTTAAAGAGTCAAGATCATAAAAAATGTTAAAAAGAGTTGACATAATTTAAACTTCCGTGTCCCTTACGTGCGTCGACGTTGTCCAGTGCATTAGTCACGCCATCAAGGCTTTCAAAGAAGTCGTCGTCATAGACCCTCTCTGTGTCGGGGCCCACCCTGTTCTGATGACCTGTGATCCTGATGGAGGGGTTCATCTGCTTCACTGCAGCAGCTGCTGTGTCGCTCTTCATTTTCTGTTACCACATACATACAAATTATATAAATAGTGAACAATTACACTTTCTGATCACATATCGCCACTGACCAGCGTAAAACCAGTACAGTGGTCACTCTAGGTTTACTGATTTGTGGCACACAAAAATACTCGTAACTGTAGTTTCTGTGCATGAGTTTAAGTCCTACCATCAATAAGGACATTAAAACAAGAACTGCGGCCTACGGCACGTGTGTAGCGGTTACGGTTTCCTCAAATCACAATTTCCTTGTAACATAATTTCATCGTTGAATAAACAGAGCAATGTGAAAGGTCACTGCATTTCATTTAGCACCACTTGCAATAACCAAGACGCTAATACAAAGATAATGAGCCATTATGACCGCAGGCTTTCAGTTTCCTGGATTTAATGTTGTATCATGACATCATCCAGCAACAGCAGTTGGAGCAAGTGAACTCGGCACTGCTCGGAAATATGAAATTGAAATCGATAAATGGCACTAATGTGAGCTATATACTCTACATCTACCATCAGACAGGGTCGAGCAAAGATGATACTGACCGTAACGTCGGAGGGTCTGAAGAGGAACTGTCTGTTGAGGTTGGACTTCTCTATGGTGTCCATGTCGGTCACAATGACCTCGCCCTTCCCACCTGCCAGTCCAATCATGGCAAAGTTTTTCAACAGCTCGCAGCCGATGGCCCCAGCTCCAACCTGGAATGAAGAAACCCCTCTCAGTGAGTAAAGTTAGGTTGCACTGTATGCGGCATTGGAAAACACTATTTATCAAACGACATCCATTTAAATTGCTAAGTAGAGATTTAGTCTTAAACCATAAAGACAGAGCATGCTTGCGGAATACCAGGTCAAAAATATTTAAAATATTCAAATGTTGCAAAGTACGAGAAGTGCGCCCGTTAAACAATATGGCTTGCCATTACAAAAGTTTTTGTCAAAACCCCCAAAATTACAAAATCAACAGTGTACTACATCTCTAAATACTGTAGGATTGTTGCTTGTGTCGGAACGTAGCCCATGACGGCTCGGGCCGAAGACTGCGGGCTAGCAGCCGGGAAACTGCCAAAGAGGCGTAATGTCTAGAGACGGCAGCCTCAAAACTCTGCCGTTAAGGAAGAAGTTAATGGTGCAACGGATCATAAAACTCACGGTTCGGATCGTATCAGCACAAAACAAAAAGGGGAGAAATTATAACTTTTAGAGATCCCTGTTCATGTTATTTTGCTGCCGATACTAATTGCCGGTCATTGATGATCCATATTGGCAGATAAAAATCAATTTGCTGTTTGATTATAGCAGCTGGTCTACAAAGCTCCAGGAAATATTTTTGCCACTAAACAACTAAATGTTGTTGTGAAAATATCTAATTCAAACTACTGATTTTTTTTTTTACCCAGAATTACATTTTACGAGATCACACGTGAACACATCATGATAACGCCAAACACTCATTTTCACTGACCAGAGCCTGAACGCATCATAATATTACTGAGCAGAACCTACTTACATTGGCCATTAGCGGTGCTGCCATCGTTACAAACACGGATTGGTTGTTTACAAATCATCATCAGAGACTAGAAAAGTATGAATGCTGATGTCATTGCATATTTTATTTAACATTGGTGGTTAGCGATCACCAGTAAAACTTTATTTCACATTGTGATGTTACCGTTAAATTGTGTAATTAATCTGCGGTTCAAATGTGTGGCGAACCGCGAGGGGGGGGTTCCATACAGATCACGAATAAACAATGGTTCGTTACAGACTACTTGAAAATGCGTCTTTGAGGTACGTCTACACTCGCAAATACAGAAGGACGAGCAAAGGAGACGCTCAGCGCAAACACGGGTGTGAACCGTCCACACAGAGTGTAAAAACAGCACTCGTGGACTCATCATGACACATTTTGTCTAAGTGAGTTGAATGATGAGTCTGTGCTGTTACTGAGAGGTTAAAGCCACTGTGGTCCAGCGAGCGCTGCAGATCTAGATGCACGAGATATTAGATTATCACCAGACTTATCATTTTAAAGCTCCCTTATCAACAGGACAACAGAGGAGTTGTGTTGGAAAGTTTTCCATTGGCTGACTCACCAGGAAGTAGCGCTGTTTGGCCAGCAATTCCTGCAGCTTGGTGCCAAACACGGCAACCTGCCCATCGTATCGACAGTTCCTCTGGGAGAAAAAGATAGACAGAAAAATGGGTTTAACACCATGTTCCACCATTATGTGCCTCTGTCCTCAGTAAAGGTGTGTGATGTGCCGTGAACACCTACTGGGGCGCACTCTTCCTCTGTGAGCTCGACTCCTTCCTCTTCAGCCAGGCACTCCAGGGCATCAAAGTACAGCCACTGCATTATTGGCATAAATTTTCCAGTGCAGGCCTAAAAGAACAATTAGCACATGAGAAAAATGTAAAGAAGCATTTATGACAAAAAAAAAAGATGTCAAATTATCAGCTTCGGTTTATTTAGCTTACGATAGCACGACACCCATTAACCAGTAACTAAGATACATTTTTAAGGAAAGAGGCTCTTTCTTCTTACATTCCATTGACTAGTGGTGCAACGGATCATAGAAGTCACGGTTCAGATGCTATCACAGATCAGATAAGCACAAAAGAGAAAGGAGCAAATATAACTTCACGAGATCCCGGGTCACATTTTTTTTCAATAAGATTGTATTTTTATGGATTAAAACAAATCTGTTCTTAATAATCTCTATAAGAAAAGTTTGACCTGTTCATCCTAATTAGCAGATGTCTTGCCAAACCCATTAAGAGGGGATGAATGAAAGTGTAAAAAGGGTAGAGCATCAGACCCTATTAGGATAGTGTTTATTCATGCTTTGTAAAATACATGTAGTAAAAAGAAATATCGAAAATTATTATAAATTATACAAAATATAATTGTAATTTGAAGCCTATATTGTACAACTATAGAATTGAGAACAAAATGCAACAAAAAAAAAAAGTATATTCTGCACAAACATGTCATGTGCGTGTGTGTACATCCTGGTCTTAAGAACATTGAATCGCTTTAAACAAGTTAGTGTAGTACATGTCCAAACATATCTAATTAGAAACAGCAATCTACAATCACACTGATAACCCATTTACTTACCTCACATGGCAGTATACCAAAAAAGGAATGAAAACATGACTACAGCAGATACTGTAGGACTGCAACTACCTCAATTTGCACACGGTGCACCACTCACCTTCAACACTTCCTGTGCAGCCAGACCTCCAATGAAGGCATTGATAGGGGCCAGGTCACCAGCAGCAACAAACGACAGCTTTTTGATAAGAGCATCATCCAACTGCTCCACTTTAGCTGACCCCGTCTGGGCAGAGTTCACCTCTTTGGCTAGCGCCAAAAACTCATCACCGTCGGCCTGGAATACACACAACTCAACATGTTACAACATACTTAAGAAAACTCACTAATGTATACTGTTTTGAGTGTAAATGTTGCCATGCAGTTCTGCACAATTATTCATAAGTAATCCTACAATGATTTTAGTTTCTCTATTGAGTTTGACCATTATTCTATCAAAACATTGATCAAATAGCACTGGTGGTATTTAGAATATAAAATTGATTAAGATTTACTTGGCTCCAAGGTGTAGGAAGGCGGTTGTGTTTCTTCTGGAAGGCATGGATAGCCTGGAAGCCCACATGCAGCTGTCCTGGACGCTCGAACTTGGCAAAGTCTGTCAGCAAGAATTCTGGCTCAGCGATGGAGGAAGAGATGGATTTCTGCACGTGAAAGACAAGCAAGATAGTGAGGTTGGACTCGTTCAAATATTCCACTGGTGACAGCATAATCACATAATGTTGTGTCACCAGTATTGTGATGAGATTAGATGCCGTTTTGCTGACCAGTGGCAATAATGGGAGACCATGTCACGCTTCAAAGGTCTATAATGTTACCTTCTCAAACATTTTACATGGGAAAGTGACATAATGTGTGGAAATGGCAGCCACTTACAAAAGAGATCTTCTTGGGCATCTTGACCTGGGAGACAATTCCTCCTCTGATATAATCTGTAAAACCAGCTGTTTCACAGATGCTGAAGGTGTAGGGACCTGGACAGAGAAGAAATCATGTCAATTTTAAACCGTTACAAAACACACTAGCCAAAACGTCTTTTTCTTAAATAGAAACAGGTCTTACCCAGAACTTTAATTTCCACTGGCTGGCAGCCATTGAGCTCGATCATACCCTGAACCTCTGTGAAGGTGACATAGTCTCCGCTCTCAAAGCCATGACGAGTCTCATCAAGACATGTCACAACCCCTGAATTGTCCTGGAGAAAACAAAAATGAACAACGCTTGGTTTCAAAATAAAATCTGCCTTGATGCTTGTCATTCCTAACAGCAGCAAGTGGTTGGGAGAAGAAGAATGTTTCTTAGTCAGACGTAAGGACTAACCTTGGTTATCATGGAAATCATGGCAGTCAATGGCTGTTCTCCATTGGGGTCATACACTACCATGTCCACACCAAAGTCACAGAATATCTGGCTACAAAACACAACAAGTGAACATGCACATTAGACACTGACAGACGGGTATACATTCTATGTGAAAGGTAAAAAACAACAAGAGGTGTCAGACTCTTACCCAAACAGCCCACGCGTGTCTGCGACAATCAGCTTGACTCCTTTGTTGTGGCAGATTTCTCCCAGTTGGTGCTGCTCTTCCAGAGTGGAGTTAGTCAGCACTACCACCTAGGTCACAAGAAGACACATTTAAACACCAACTTTTCTTTCCGACAGCTGAACTGAGTGGGGCACTAGTTTCTACCTAAATTATACCTGGAACTTGGTCATGAAGTCTTCAGTGAGTGTTTCGGTGTAGGCGGTCACAGACACGTAGTTGTTGAGCTCAGCCAGACGGTGCTGACTCACCTCGGCTCTGTTCTTTCCCAGGTCCTCCTCCCGAAGGTAAAACTGACCACAAAATATATAAAACGTCAGGGAACAACCGATACTGCGTCAATCAAGCTTAAGTGCCAGATATGGTAATAAAGGAAAATAGACATCATGTTTACACAAAGAAGGGTTCTTGATTCACACCGAAATATCAAAATACAAAAAAAATATGCTAAATCTTTTCTATCTGCTCTCTCTTGGATGACAAATAGGGAAAAAAAAACAAAAAAAAAAAAACAGATATCATTTAGTCAGGTAAGGGACAAACTCAATGTAGTCACTCCACTTGGTGTCATCAGTTTAAACAGCGTTTGTCACGGCTTAATCTACACAATGATTTATTTAGTGTGTTAATATAGTCTGTGCAGGAATTTATAAATATTTAGAAAAATGTGATCCAGCTACAAAAAAAATTCCCCAGCAAATTTCCACAGCTTTCCTATTAAATATAAATGGCACGTCAAATAAGTGCCATATATAGAAATATACATAGATTACTCAATTTAGCTTAAATAACAAAGGAAACTAGGGCAAATGCAAGTGGCTGAAATAAAAATATTTAAGAGCACAAGGTTAGACTGAGACTGGGTGATCCCGGATGCAATCATACACTTCTGTAAGGTCACACAGATCTCGGCTGAGCCTCCTGATTGAACGCCTGAGCAGTCTATTCACACATGTCTGTCTGGCCCTAAATAGACATCAGAATTCAGAGTCACAGGCTGGCAGACATAAACAATCTGTCCGCTGTAATGATTCCCTAAAACAGGCTTTAGCTCTTCTATGATTATGACCCAGAGAGAGAGGCCACCCACTGATAAATCTGGGTCAGCCCATGGTTAGCAAGGGTGGGGGTGGCTGCCTTTTTGGATGGCAACAATACTACACAACAACTGACTCATAACAGATACAAGTCACACTGCACTTTGGAATCAGGCTCAAACACAATAGCACACCAGATGCAGCTACAATAAAGAGGAAATGGCTGAGTGAACCATTGTCGGCCGGACTGAATAAAAAGAAGAAAAAAAACATTGTACAATGGAAAAAAAATTGGAATACGTGTGCATGCCTCCACACACCTGAGAGGAGAGGTCTCTCCATTCTGCCACTCCTTGGTCGTGCACAGCAACACTTTTAACTCCTCCCAGGATGACGTTCTTTGCAATCTCCACTCCAAGACCTCTCATACCAGAGATAAGGACATTGGAGTTCTGCATTCGCTTCATAGCATCATGGCCCAACACATAACTACAGAAAGAGAGAACGTACCATTAGAACAACTATGCATTGTTTAACATTCAGCCCAAAAATAAATAATCAAAATTGGTCAGTTTTTCTTCATCAGGACAAAAATTCACAAGACTTACAGTTGTCTGGAGTACAGGCCTTCATCGATCTCAGCATCATTGCCATTCTTAGCCATGCCCTGGGGAAACCACAAAGAGGGGTTGCAATTAGTTCATGTAACAGATTTTTACCAAACTTGTACAGTGTATGCTTTTGTGCTTACGTTGGCAGGTGTGTGGGACAGATCAGTTCTGACAGAGTTAGAGGAGGAGCAGTGGGATCCCGTCTTCGTCTCTGTTCCTGACAAGCGACGCTTCTTGGACAGCGGCGAGCTGGACATCTGTGCACCAACACACCCCGTTACGACTGGCCCATCAGGCACAACAAGCTGCCCCATATCTTCACTAAACTCTCACCCTTTACAAGTTTATACTAATTCATGGATAATATGGCTACCCCGATGACGATGATTAAATAATTTAAGCAGACAGGGGCAACCAGTGTCCATATCATGGACGTTTTCAAAAGAAAATAATTTCAAATTAATTTGCAAATAAGTGAAAAACATTTGACTTAATGCCACATATCCATTATTAAGAGTATCCTAGCTAAATGCTACGTTTCCATTATTAAGAGTATCCTAGCCTAGCTAAATGCTACCCAATCCCCTTAATGTTGAAGAGAGGATTTCTAGTCCAGGGAGCAGCTGGGCTGGCTGCAGGCCAAACACAAATCTGCTAGAAAACGAACAGAGCCTGGGAAGAGCGATGAATAGCAGCATTATCACGTGTCATGCTCAGAGACAGGCTTGGCTGTTCAGTGCCATTGTACCGGTATTTAAGGGCCGCAAACATCGTTTCAAACAAAAAGCTGAATCATTGAAACTTCACTGCGGTAAAGTGAACAACATGGTGGCCTGCAGGTGTGGACACAAGGACTGTAGAAAGCCGTTGGAACTATCCTCGGTTGGCAGATATAACTGGACGTTAGCAAATATGGTATTTTATAAAAATAAGATAATGTAAATTAACATTGTGATTAACGAAATAATCCGGTCAAATCCAGTCACTTCGGGAAGTGAAACAGGCCGCAGCGTCTCGTACACATTCACACTGCACGGAGAACACGATCGCCTACAATTTCCGCATCCGATGCAGCTCAACTTGCGTCCCAAAAAGTCAAACTTAACCGTTTATAAACCTTCCTACAACTGATAGACGAAGTTGGAATAAGTCTTACACAATAACGTTGCAACCGGCTAGAATTATGTAAAGTCACATTTTACTGAAACGGGAACTGTTCGCCGTTTGTCAAAAACGAAAATGAAGGTACAGACAATGATACAGCAACGCGTTGACGTTGGTGCGGTTGCTCTAGTCATTTACACAAAATAAAAAAAGATTACATAGCCGTTACAAACCATTTCTATATTTTAACGTTTAGGATAAGGTTGCGTTAAATATTGGTGAACGAGACCAAGCGGAAACTGATTAAGTACGTTAGGTTGCGTGCCACTAATCGGTTAATGTTAAGTGATTGGCTAAGTGGAAAGAGTCGGGACATTAATAACCTAAGAAGCAAAAAAACACCACCCTGCTAGTCTGCCCATTAACGTTACCAGCTCGGCCTAGGCCTGCATCTCCCCCAGTGCGGAACACAACTTTACAAGCTAGCAAACCTAACGTTAGCTGTGTTCAACCTGCTCGCAAAAGACAGCAGCGGGGTTATTTTGACAGCTAGCTAGCAAAGCTCCTTTAATAGTTTAATGTTTCAATGCCTAAACAAAATACACCATCAAACTTTATCACTCAATGTAAAAAAAAAAAAAAATTGCGAATGAAAGACTAACGTTAGCCATTACACTCGTGCTCCACTGATTTCTCTTTTCTTACCAATAATCCTTCTCGGTTCCTACCCGATGCGAACCCGCTCCTCTCCCGCAGTATCTAGATGTCAATAGTATTGATGAATGTAAATTCGACGATTGGTACAAAGAAAAGAAACGCGATGCGGTATTAGGCTGGTCTGCGCTATAATGTCGAGTCACTATGTCGTTGTGCTGAGAGTCTCTTCTATGTAATTGCGTTGCTGGCTTTGCGACTGCAGACGGGAACAAAACCAAAATGGCAGATGGGGAGAAAGGGGCGGAGAACCTGTGACGCATGGGCTGAAATATTCAGCAGGAAAGGGGTGATGCGAGCACGCTGCTCGGCCAGAAGCTCCTCTCATTGGCTGCTAAACATAAGCCAACGCGCTTTATACCCGCCCTCGCAACCAGAAGATGCATGGCATGTATATTACTGTACAATGAACTGCATGACCACAAGAATTACCGTGTACCAAACGTGTTATTATTTTTGTTATAATTATTCAAAAAAACGCACAAAGCATGTCTGATGCAAGTGCACGAGCGCAGAGATCCAAACACATTTTCAACGTGAAGATCCACCTTATCGGTGCTGAATGAAATCTCGTTGTAGAACCAGACATGCAACACAAAACTTACATTCGTGACACAATGCATCACCCCTAGACTAACATCTTAGGGTGTATCCAAGTTGAACGTATTCTCACTGCAATGCCAATTCGTGTATTGTGTTTTCAAGATATTTTAACTTTCCCTGGGTCCAGCAAAAACACATCATACGTCTGATGGTGCCCCAATGATAACAGACAGGTACAACACTAGGCTACTTGCTAGTTAGAGTGATGCTGAGCGTCTAGGCCCTCAGTTACACTGAGGTTAGGGGTGAGCATTCCTTGCAAAGGAGGAGTATTGGGGGAGGGGGTGCCTGGCAAATGACAAAGGCCCAGGGAAAGAGTGGGCCGCATATTCTCGGGTACACATGTCAAGGGGATCCCCATTCTCATCGCTTTGCTGCGAAATGAAAAAAAAAAAAACACTAATTACCATTATTCTATCGGAGCCGACACGTATTGATATTAATGACACGTTAACAGACTTCTCAACTTGGCAAGCCAATAGGAGATACTAGCCAATATGACGTTACTGTGGTAACGTCGTTATTATCGATAGTCGTCCCATTGAAACGTTGACCAAAACACATCTATCGGGATGAAATGCGATCAGTAGGTTCAAGCAAACGTTGCGTGATGCAAGTTAGCTAGTGTCTTCCTTTGGCCATCGCGTCCATCCAAGTTAATGTTTGTAGCCAACTAGCTTCCCAGCCAGTTAACGGTATTCATCACAGAGCACTACTTAAAACAGCACTCTCGTACACGTGAAATGTGCAAATTCCAATTTAGAGTTAACGGTTACGTGCCAGTGGCTTCTTGGCTTCGGTTAGCCGAAAAGGTTCAGCTAGCCGACAGCAACTAACGTTAATGACTACCAATAACGCAGATCAAACGACTGCGTAGTTGTTAGCTTGTGTGCAGTTAGCTTTCGAGCTATCTAGCCACCCAACGACTTTTTCCTACTTGTGCCGCTATGTTAGCTAACTAGCTAATGTTAGCCAACTAGCTGAGGCTAACACTACCAAGACGAGAGCTTATACAAGTGTGCAGAACTTACCACATCCGATATTACTCGGCCTGATCTGTAGTATTAAAATCGGCTTGTATTTAAGGAAGAAACCTAAAAAAACAATGTGACAATTCAACACTGCTGCTGATTGCAAACTGAAAAGTGTCAGGGTGGCGGGCTCTGTGTGAGTTTTTCCGCTGGACGGTTGCCTGACCGGCTGTTCCAGAACCGTTTCCCCTGACTCTATTTCAGTTGAATAAAAGCAGCAACATGTGCACGTTACAGTCACAACCACCATCCCCGCACAGAGGGTTCACCGAAAAGTGATTATAATTGATTTATTGGAAGTATTTGTTAGTATTCTTCTTGAATGTTTAACCACAACACAGAAAATGTAAAGTGTATTGAATTATACACTACTAAATATTGTGATCGCATGTTAACTGTGAAACCAATATTTTTTTCACCCCCGTGCTTCTGTGAGTATAGACTAATCCGAAATTCACAAAGAGCCAGATGGGACTTGTAGTCGTGGCTTGATAATGTAATGCCTCTGTGTGAAATCATTAGATAACGGTTCTTTCAGCGTTTTTTTTTTAGTTTTTTTTTTTTACTTTTATTGAAAGACTTGCAAACAGAGCACAGTTTACATAGGGACAGAATAGTGGAAGTTTAGAATTGTTCAGGAGAAAAGCACATAACTCGGTATTACATAGATCCAAAAGCAGAATGAACGTCGAAAATATTTTTTTTACATGATAAAAAGGAGCAAAGATAGACAGTACCAGTCCAATTGACAGTAGGCCTACCATATGAATGTGTCGACACAACTGGAAACAAATGAAAACAAACTTTCTGGGCAAAAGTTTTGGAGAACTTTGAAATTTTCACGTGTGTGTGTTTGTGTTATTGCAAAGCCTTTACACAATATCTTGTATCTTAAAATCTTCGTCAACTCTTCAACAGGTGTGGAGCAACTCACAAGACTTTGAGCGACAGTTCAAGTTTAAATACAGTATACAGTTAAACAAATCCCTATATCCAGCAGCCAATGGGAGGGCTTAATGAGTGCAGTTTCACTAATGTCTGTACAACTCTGTGACTGCAAGCTTACGATTTAGCAGCCTCACTATAGAATGAATAGCTACATAAAAAAAGGAAGAGTGAAATAACGAAATGGGATGAGCCGATTTGAGCCGAAAAGTAAATGTCAATTTGGATATGAGGAAGTTTACAACACGGGAGAGCAAGAGTTAGGAACCCCCTTCTTTGTAGGTATTTACAATTTGTAGGGAATAATGCAAATCACTTCCTTGCTGTAACTCTCACAATCTGTTGATCATTTTACCAAGCTATTACTTGTGTAGTTCCATAATTTGTTACCTGCGCTTCCAGCATGAGGAGGTTGTGTGGTAAGCATTCATGCGCACAATCTGGATTTGAGATGCAAACTCTCTTTCTCTTTGCAGCTGTCCTACAGAGAGATACAGTGCCCTATGATACTCCCCCTACACTCCAGTCATGAGAGTATTTGAATGCCTTAGGGAGTTTTCTCGCTATGTATTCTCAATATGAACATACAGCCAAACCAAACAACATTGCATGATTACTTTTCTTCTGGGGAGTAAGTGGATGATACCTCTGGGAGAACATTTTTAAAACCTCAATGGTGTCGTGTATTGCTTCATGGACACCTGCTTCATAGCCCCCTACCCATCCCAGCTCTGGGGGACTGGCTGGAACGAGCAGCATCCCTCTGTCCATCTGTATCTTCCTGCTCTCCTGCAGCCTGGGGTGAGGATTGTGTGGGTGGAGAGGGTGGGGGATAGGAGGGCGGAGGGATAGTAAGGTGAGGGATAGATGGCAGCACAGGCCTGGGAGAGGTTGGAAGAGGTGGAGGAGTGGCTGAGGTTGCAGTCGTGGAGTGCTGTGAGGAGCGTGCGCGGGAGGTGGCAGGAGAGGCGTGTGTGCTCCTGGCACGTGGTGGTTCAGCGGAGCAGTCACTGATTTGCTCAAGCAGCGAGGGCATGTCTCCTTCAATCTTCTCCAGCACTGCAGCCATTTGCTTTTCTATCTGCTCGATCACACTGTCCATTTGCCAGTCGCTTGTAGCGCTGCTCCCGCCTCCTCCATGTGGTAGCCCAGTCCCATACATCCCTACTCCTCCTGCGCTTGTATACAAGGAACTGTATGGACTCCCATAGCTCCCTGCCATCCCCATCCCTACAGTAGCAATTTCTGGATTGTATGGTGTGGCATGACGGCCCAAACTAGCAGAGCTGCCTACGGTATAACAACCCGGTCCTGTCGTAGGATCTGGCCTCGATATGCTAAACTCAGCACTGTATCTGTCTGTTGTCCTGGCATCCCTGTCCCTCCTACCCACTGGGCTAGCATCACCCCTTAACCTAACTCCTGGTCCTACATCCACCCCAGTTCCAAGCCCCATTGCTGAAGTGACTGCCACTGACCGCTCTGCCACTGCCTCAGGTACTTGTGTCTGACACCAGCTTCCGTCAGGCTCATACCTCTGCTCCCTCTGTGTGGCTGGCCTCTTCTCTGTTGAGCCGGTTCCAGCTGCAGGGGCTGTGGGTGGAAGGCCATGGAGCGTTGCAGCCATCTTACGTTTGCTGCTGGGATCAGGGGAGGCGGATGTGTGTTTTTTGTCAAGTATAATGCCTGAAGAACCGTCCGACAGCTTGGAGGGGTCAGGTATCATCACCGGAGTCGGTTTGGATTCTGGAACAACTTTATTTTGACCCAAATTGGCAGCCATTTTCCTAGTTCCATCACCTACTGCTTTCTTTGCACTGGCCTGATCAGGCTCCTCCTGTGTGAGTTTGGGGGTGGCATTTGTTTGGCTTTGTTGACTGGAAGGCTCAGGAATATCTGATGGGGAAGTTCCTACCGATGGGCCTATACTCATCTTTACCTCATCCTGTTTTTCTCTGACCTTACTCCTTCCCTCATCCTGGTCCATACCCACCGGTGTATTTTCAACAGTAACTTCTAAAGACACACTACTTGAAGTAACCCCTCCATCACTTGTCCCTTTGTCTCCCTCATCACTTGTCCCCTGGGACACACCGCCTTCACCATCTCCGGCCTCCTCACTGCCCTGAGCCTCAGCTGAACTGTCATTCAGTGCTTCTGAATTCTTTAATCGTTGCATGAAGGTGGTGACACGGATCGCTTTCTGCAAAACAGACAAAGGCAAAGAAAAAAGGAGAGAAGGATAGCGATGTAAAGAGAATTAGATTTACATCATGTCGCTTTTTTCATAAACACCCATATTGACTTGTTTCCCTAAAAAACTTTGATACTATAGTTGGTTATGGCAAAGCATAGAAAATAAGCTTTGAAGACAACCACAGCACCATGATTTAGCATCATCATACTAAGCGCTGAGATGTGATTAGTGTGAAGTGACAGTGCAGTAAGATTGGTGCCAGTTGTTTACTTCCAGGATGCTGTGACACTTTGTACCCTGGTTTAAATCAATCTCAAGACTCACTCTTTCCAAGCCACTCCTTGAGTGCTTGTTGTCTAGAAAAGGTAAATGAACACATCTGACTCCTTTCGATCTACAAACACTTAAGGAGTTAGGGAAAATGTGTGACCTTAGAAGTTGTTTCTAAACCAGGGAATTGATTCTCTGGAAGTGAAAAGCCATTGGGACACAGACATGTCACTGAATACGACATGGCTTAACTGAGAAGCTTCTGTACAGCTTCAAGTATGACTTGAATGTAACACTGAGGTACAGTATGGGGCAATGAGCCAGGATTCACGGAAGAGGAATGACAGAGGGCCTTATAGTTCAAATCACTGCTGTTCAACAGTCCACAGTGGCCTATATCCGTTATATCCTTTCCATTTCTCCCTCTCCTTATCTACACAGATACAAAAACTACACAAGCAATGAGCAAACCCTTTTCCCCGTTGCTGTTCACAATGTTGTTTTTACCAATCTCTTTTCATAGACTAGTGCAGATGAGGAGTAAGAAAGGAGCAGAGCGGGCCACTTTGAACATCTGGGCCTTAATCCAATGAAGAAAAGTGGGGCAGAGTGGATGGATATCTTCTGGGACAGGACAGGAGTGACAGTGGGCAGGAACAGAGCCTCTGAGGAGAGTTTCACCGGTCCAAACATGGTCAACACATCTTAAGGCTGACTGAGGTTTAACTGAAGTGTTTGCCGATTGGTCGATTACTTTAGACAATTTTTCCAATAGAAACCTTAATTCAAGGGGTTGAGCAGCCATTAGAAAGATGTTTTGTTATTGATTCATGCCGGACTGAAGGTAAGTTTCTGCCCATGCTCTGTCCTTCCACTCTCCCTCTTAATGAACTACAATACCTTCAGCTCCTGCGAACCATATGGGGAAAGAGAGAAGAGGGTTATAACTATTACTTATGCTGTCAGGTCAGCAGTGCCATCTCGACTTACTACTTCTTGGTCTTCAGCATTCATTCCCCTAGGACATCCCTTTGACCACCACCAAATCATTTCTCAAATTTAAAACATACCTCTCCATGCTTGTATGCTGAGCTACAGTAAAAGCACCTCATGTGCTATGATCATTACATATAGTGCCATTCTATGCTGCTTACTAGGCTATAGTATCACCAACTCTATTTACTGCTACAGGAAGAGAGTGAGAGTGAATTCATACCCGCCATTTGGCCTTTGCAAAGTTCTTCTCAAACTGGGCACACACACCATCCTTGAGGTTCTTCTCTGATGCGCCATTCCCTGCAATCCTGGCACAGGTGACAGACAGCATACAAGTGAGTACAAACCCTGTGGATATGAGCCAAAATATGCTTGCTCTTGTAATTATGTGCACACATTTACCATTCATGCCAAAGTGCATCCTGCGCGGTGATTCTCAGCATCTGGTCCACTTCCATGAGTCGACAGACAAGCTCCTTAGCTGAGAAAGAAACGATGAAGACAAAAGGTCAATTTAAGTGGCATGATAAGACAAAAAATATGTACATTTTCATAAATC